AATATACAGAAAATCATTAATAATACAAAAGCAGTCACTATGAAATTTTGAATCTTTGCTTTTTTTTTTTTTTAAGAGACAGGCTGAACTTTTTTTTTTAAAGATTTATTTATTTGTTTATACATGCACTGGGCACAGTCAGAAGCGTGGGAGGGTGAGAGAATTCCCCAGAGTCAGAGGGGGGAGCAGAGCAGGCAGAAGGACCAAAGTACACTGCTGAGGGGAGCAGCGGGCGGCAGGAGAGGTCTGCGCGCCATGTGGGTAGCTCCCTGGCCAGGGAAAGAACTCGTGCTGCAGTGGCTGCGAATAGCTTCATAGGCCCGGGATTACTCACTTTAAAAGTATCTTTTTCTTATCACTGGTCAACACTTGTTCTTTTATATACTAAAATTTTTTTGGGATACCTATGCATGTTAACTGTGAATTTTCTTTTCAGTATTTGACTCTGTTCTGTGAGTCAGAACACTTTTATTATATTACACTTTTATTTTTGAAGTGTGTTTTTTTTTTTTAAATGGAGAATTATCTTTTGTCATTTTTGAGTAAATGGTGTACTTCCTTACTCCAATTTCCTTTAATTTTGGATAATATGCATAATTAATTTGGATCAAGTTAATAATAAACACAGACATAGCTTTTTTTTTTGGTGTTTGCTTTATTATGCTCACTGATATTGAATTTTTTTACAAATTGAAGGCTTATGACAACCCTGAATCGAGCAGGTCTGCTGCCTTCATGCCTCGGTGTCATGGTTAAGGAATGTTCTTTGTTTTTTAAAGACATAGTGCTATTGCATCTTTAAACAACTACAGTATAGTATAAACTAAACTTTTACATATAGGGAGAAAAAAAATTTTTTATTGCCCAATTCACTTTATTCCCGTGGACTGGAATGCAATTTGCAAAATCTTCAAAGTATGCCTGTAATTAATTTGAATTAAATATATAATTTCTTTTGTTTTGGAGCATGCTCTCCTGAGTTTACCTAAAGTCTCTTGAAAACTAAGTTTTTTGTTTTTTTTTTTTTTAATAGAGGCATGTTTTTATTTATTTATTTATTTTTTTTTTTTTTTATAGAGGCATGCTTTATTTATTTATTTTATTTGTTTGTTTGTTTTGTTTATACAAGCGCGGGAGGGTGAGAGAATTCACCAGAGCCAGAGCGAGGAGCAGAGCAGGCAGAAGGACCGAAGTACACTGCTGAGGGGAGCAGCGGGCGGCAGGAGAGGTCTGCGCGCCATGTGGGACCCTCCTCCGGTGGCCAGGAAGCAGCCGGGGATCGAACCGGCGCCACAGAGGCCGCGGGCAGCTTCGCAACCCAGCGCTCAACCGCTGCGCCACCGGGGAGGCCCTATTTATTTATTTGTTTGTTTTTTTTGTTTATACATGCACTGGGTACAGTCAGAAGCGCGGGAGGGTGAGAGAATTCACCAGAGCCAGAGCAGGGAGCAGAGCAGGCAGAAGGACCGAAGCACACTGCTGAGGGGAGCAGCGGGCGGCAGGAGAGGTCTGCGCGCCATGTGGAACCCTCCTCCGGTGGCAGGGGAGAAGCCGGGGATCGAGCCGGTGCCGCAGAGGTCACGGGCAGCTTCGCAACCCAGCGCTCAACCGCTGCGCCACCGGGGAGGCCCGAAAACTAAGTTTTTTTTTTTATGGTCTTTATTCTTCTAGGTGATTCCCCATGGGCTAATTTTCAGTATGGTGAACAGTACAGTAACCATGTTTAATTACCTTTCCTTCTGCAGTTTAGTTTCCATTCAGTCTTTTTTTCATTCAGCTTTTTTATTTTTTATTTTTTTTCCTTCAGCCTTTTTATATTGTCAACCTGAAGAGCCTAGAATTTTTAAACGGTTTTCTTGAAGAATATCTTGTCTTTCAATTCTATTTGTGGAGAGTAGAATTACAGGAAATATTTCCTGTGATATGTAAAATGTAATTTCAAAATCAAGGTGCATAGTATATTGAACAGATTCAGATACTTTTTAAACTTGTTAGCATACGAGATGAAACTAGAGATTAGGGTTTAGTTGGTTGAATTCTCCATCTTTATGCCAAGTAGTGGCGTTTGCCCCTGAGCTATGCCTGTGTTGTCTTTACAGCATGGTCATGCTTTCAATTACTTTCCACAACTTCCACTTGGGTTTGCTCAAGGGAAATGAGGACAGGCTGAGGATTAAGCTGCTGTTTCAATCCCAGTGTAATCTACTTGCTTAATGGCTTTGGGCAAATCACATAGTCCAGTGAGCCTTTGTTTCCTGTCTGTAAAGTAAGGAATGACACTATACTTTTGAATGTGAAGATTAAATGGTTCTCACAGCACTAGCTTGGGGTATACATTTGCTCATGCCCTTTAAAATTTTTTTTTTTTTTTTTTTTTTTTAAGATTTACTTATTTATGCATACAAGACCTGGGGTACAGGCCAGAGGTGGGGGGGGGGTGTGTGTTGAGAGGATTCACCAGAGACAGAGTGGGGAGCAGAACAGGCAGATTGACTGAAATACACTGCTGAGGGGAGCAGCAGGTGAGACAGGAAAGGTCTGCTGTGCCATGTGAGTCAGCTCCCTGGCCAGGGATGGCACTGGTGCTGCAGTGGTTGCGGATAGCTTCATAGGTTGTGTCTTAACCCCTTGCGCCACCAGGGAGGCCCGCAATTTTCTAATTCTCTAATTAATCACTCTAATTCCTACATGCCAGTGTTTCAGATTCCCTATTTAAAAATCACCGTTTTAGATTGACCAAGAACCCCAGGGGCTTACTCTTCCAAAGGAGTCTCCTTCCGCATCCCAGAATGGAGAGAAATTAGGAAAAGCCTGGCCAGAAAGTTCTGATTCAGTTGTTTTGCTGGGGCTTCTTGACTGAGTTGGCCCCACCCAGTCCAATGTGCCTTCCCTGCTGCTGCCAAGGTACCTCAGGTCCAGCCCCTTGCGCTGCATGGCAGTGTCAAGTTTGGCCTCTCTAATTTACTTCTCTGCAAGTTTCATCCACACACTCAGTCACTGTGTCTCAAGCCACCCTGTAATGTCTGTGCCGGGGTGACTGGATTCAGACAAGCTTTTCACCAGTTGCTACCCCTTTATTTCACAGTGGGTGACTGGAACTTCATCTCTCTCTTTCTTGTGAACCTCAGTTGGAAACATCCTATGATAATAATTATGATAATACTGAATTAAAGTGGTCACGGTGACCTTCCCCTCCAGGAGGTTCACTAGGTAGATTTAGCCACCTCCTCCCAGCTATCAGTGCTGAGTACCAAGCAAATTACAAAAGTTCCTATCACATCTCCTCTGTCAGAAATGGGGTGCTTAGGAAACTTAAATCTGTGTAAATCCAAGAGGTCACTCAAGTGACTCTTCTAGGAATAAAGATCTACCAAGGGAATTTATTCAGATATCTGATATCTCCTTTTACTAAAAATGCTTAAAAATTATTTCTGCTTTATCAGACAAGTATGTATCAAACACCTAGTGTACCTCTGTCACACAGTAGGTGCTCAGAAAGTGTTCTCTCCTGCCTCCCTTCTTTCTCAGCTCAACCCCACCTTGGAATCATTCAAACTGGGAATACATGACTTTCCAGTGACCGAGTCCATTTCCAGTGCCCATTTCTCTGCTTGATGCTGTGGTGTAAATGCATTACAGATGGTTCTGGGTTGTCTGCTGGCAGGTTTGCCAAGTTTGGAAAACGGTTTGTTTTCTGGCTTAAAACAAGTGTTGGAGGCTGTAGCTCCTCATGTTGACCTCTCATGAACCCTGCTGAAGTCCTACTCTCAGAGCTGCTTTTAGGGTGTGCTTCCCTGAGGCAGTTTAAACCCTCTTCAAATAGTTAGATTTTATTTTATATTTGTATTCAACTTGTAATTTATACAGGGAACATGCCCAGAGCATTTTGTTATGGGAAAAAATGCAAATCCAAAAATAAACAATGTAGATCTAGTATCCTTAAAACAGGTAGAGGCATTTATAAAGTGTGCCTTGTCACCAACCTTTGCCCCACAAGTAAACACTGCTCTCATCGAGAAAGGGTGTGGCATCTGCTTTTCTGGAGGTTTGGTTTCGCAGAACCCTATTTTCCTGTCTGGTTTCGACAATGGTGCCTGGTTAGAACGCACAGAGGGGACCCTGGGCCATTGTGGTTAGAGGTTGATTTCAGACCCTGCCTCCAGATTCCAGACCAAGCTCAGCCCTCCCCCACACCTCTGAGCAGGATTCCCAGACCTCACCAGGAGGCCCAGGGGCACGACCTCTCAAAGCTGACTCCAGTCTCCAAAAGAAAGTGACAGCTCCCTTGAATTATTCTGGGTACAGAACTGAGTTTCCACATGTTTTATGAGATATAATCAGGTGCTTCATACCATATTTTTCTTGGAGGTGTTTAATTGTTGGCTTTAGACATAAATTATAATAGAATCAGAAAGGAGAAGAACTGAGGTTGATTCCCAAGTGCTTGTGAAATTATCCTTAGGCCCTCCCTACATTGCCTTAACTGGCCTTTGCTTTAATTTTTTCAGCAGAAAGGCTCTGCTAATGCAATGGGGTGTGGCTTTGGCTTAGTTGCCATTGTTTTATTTTCTGGAATTAGTTTTTCTTTCTGCAAAACATCGCATCCTGGCACTTTGAAATCCCCAATGAATTTGGAAAAATTATGTGTTGCCATCCAGCCTCCTTTCCTGGAACACAATGTGATGCTGACGACATAGCTCATTCACTCCACTTGACAATAAGTTTGCTTGTCTCATTTCACTTGAATATTCAGCGGTGAGTAAGAACACCAGTGGAAAGCCTTACTTACCACCATTTATTATATGTTTCATGTGCATGATAATTACTTTTATAATGCCACTCATGAATAAATTGATCAGATTAGGGTGAATCACCTGGCTGGCCAATAGCTATTGGAATGATTCTCTGCGCGTGACTTTGTTGCATTATTACAAAACGTGGCAGGATCAACCTGCCCAGCCATCACAAATGCTCATTTGTAACGCTGCCTTAAGGAGATGAGGAGATGAGAGCAAATTGTTCCAGCAGCTCAGGCTGCCCTGCCAACAGTTCAGAAGAGGAGCTGCCAGTGGGGCAGGACGCACATGGGAACCTGGAACTTGTCTTCACAGTGGTGTCAGCCGTGATGATGGGCCTGCTCATGTTCTCCTTGGGGTGCTCGGTAGAGATCCGAAAGCTGTGGGCGCACATCAGGAGACCCTGGGGCATCGCCGTGGGACTGCTCTGCCAGTTTGGGCTCATGCCTCTGACAGCCTATCTCCTGGCCATCAGCTTCTCTCTGAAACCAGTGCAAGCTGTTGCTGTTCTTATCATGGGTTGCTGTCCAGGAGGAACCATCTCTAACATTTTTACCTTCTGGGTTGATGGAGATATGGATCTCAGGTAAGTTTCACCAGGGAAACTGTGTCTTCGTTGTTCTTCCCCTATAGCAGTTTGCTGGGGGGAAAATCTGACACTTTTATATTAAAAAGTACCCAACATTTGGTATAGATTCCAGTGGGAAATATTTTACAGAGATTTGTTTAACCCTGGAAGGAGAACTCCTTTCTGAGCTCAAAGTTTACATTGCTATGCTCCTCTGTTTTACCGGCAACAAGTTCGTTTTGAATAGTGGGGTTGGTTCACATGTGACAGTGGAGACAGGCCTCCTCATCCGGTGACACCCCTAGGCATGAACACATTCTCACCCACACTGGAAGCTTTAACAACAGTCCCAGTTTCACAATCTCCCAGGACTTAGCTGAGAATCCCAGGAAGTTAATAATAGTGGTTTGGTATCGGTAGTGGTGGTGGCATAATAACCAGCGCAGACCTCGTCTTTCTGACCAGCAGATATTGCTTGAACACCTGCTTTATGAAACATATTTGTGGGGACTGGTTAAAGGAGGCTTTGGGGTAACTGATAGACATATCTTGCTTCAAGTGCTGCTGGTACTCTCTTCATTTATATGTTGGGGAGCAACATATAAAGGCCTTTATGACTTACAACGTTCCTTCTCATTGCTTTGCTGATGCTTAACTAAAATCTCATTCTTTGATTTTAGCCAGTAACTTTATTTCCAATTACTGTGTAGATCAATACTCCTGGGAGAATTAGTCTTTACTATTCACTTACACTTTAATGAAGATGTGTTAATTGCAGATTTTTGGGGGTACTTATTTTAATGGGGAAAAAGGAGAGAACATATGAGGAAGAACAGAAGAGTCACTGTTGGAAAAATTAAAGCTTAAAACAGTGACTCTCTAGATTCTGTGCTTAAGTATGAACAAACTATTTCACCTCCCAACCAGGAAAAGAACCATTTATACATTTAAATCTTTGTTCAGTGTATATGTTGTTTAGTTGAGATTTATTATATGATGAATGAATGAATCAGATGTGATGGCTATGCTGGGAGTTGACATCGGTGAGAGCAGTTGCAGCCTTGGGTTTCTAGTTTCCTACATGTGCTGAATGTGTAGAATAGAAAACATATTTCACCTATACATTTTAAGGGGATCAGGCCATGCAGACTGAGAGTTAACTTTCATATGCAATGTTTTCAGATAGCCTATTATCAGAGGTTTGAAAAAAATCACTTGAGGCATTGCTTATTCAAAAAATCTACTAATATGCAATGCTAATTTAAATTCAGTAAAAGGTGATCACTAATAATTGGTAAATGATGACTATTCGTTTATGTGAAATCCATATGTTGGTGATAAATTCCAGGATGGACAAATTTTTGGAAAGAAAAGAGGATATTTATTGAGTACCCCAAAAGGCACGAGGTAGGGGTTTTCATGTATTCTCCATCTCTTCATGGCTCTCATAATAATCTTATAAATGACCTCTTATTATTCTGAATTTACAGCTGAGAAAATTGTGACCCAAATTGGTTAAGAAGGTTGCCAAATGCTACAAATGACTATAACAGAACTCAGATTTGAATTGACATCTGTTTCACATCAGTTTGCAATTGAGGCACTTTCTTCCATGCCATTTAGCAACATAACTAGGTCTCCTGCTCTGAGTAGGAGCATAAATTTTTAAACAGTGTTTTCAAATACTTCTGTTCTGGGAAAGAGAACATTTATTACCTTCATCTATCATTAGCCAATACTGTAATAAAAACACCAATGGATAGGAAATCTATCAAAGATAATGTTCATTTTACTTCCTTTGCCAACTCTATCCTTAATTAGCTTTTAAATTTGGTCAAATTATTTAACCTATAAACTCCATCTCCTCATTTGTAAAATGGTGTTAGAATTACCTATTCCCCATAAGGAATATATTTGAAGGAGGAAATGTGTGTGTGTGTATGTGTGTGTGTGTAATACCATGCGCTTGGTAGGTATGTAATAAAAACTAGCTATTTTTTTCTTTAAAATTTGACTTTTAAAATCAAAATCAATAAGCAACTATAAACCAGAGACACACAACAATGGGGTAGGGGTGGGGAGAAGAAGGGCTAGGGTCAAAATAAGGTGGGGTGCAATCGTATGGGGAGTATAACCAAAATGAAAATGCATACATTGTGCAAAATGAAAAATGATGTAAGAATTATATAAAATAAAACATTAATTTAAAAACATTTGATTTTTAGTCTCACAAACAATATAAAAATTAATTGAAAAAATTGTTGGAAATGAAAATCTGAAATGGAGACTAAATATTAGATTTCCAAAAACTCATAGATATGAGAGGAATAAAACCTTCATTGTCAGTAAAAACTGAAAATGGGAGAAAATTCAATACAACTGAGTGAAACAATATCCAAGTTCTTCTTACTTGTTTACCAACAAAAATAACTTAAAAAAAAAACTTTTAAGCAAAACCAGTTGCTAGTCATTGTTAGTTATCCTGTTTTTCATGCTAGATAAAATCCAAGAACATTTAGAAATATTTCCTCTTCTTTAACTGAAACTCTGTATCCGTTAAACAATAACTCTTCCTTCCTTCCAACCCTGGCAATTATCATTCCACTTTCTATCCTTAGGAGTTTGATTACTCTATGTGTATCATGTAAGTGAAGTTGTAACAAAGTTATCCTTTGTGTCCTGTTCATTGCAGGATTTCTTTTTTTTTTTTTTTAAGATTTATTTTATTTATTTATACAAGCACTGGCTACAGTCAGAAGCCCGAGAAGGTGAGAGAATTCACCAGAGTCAGAGCAGGGAGCAGAACAGGCAGATTGACGAAGTACACAGCTGAGGGGAGCAGTGGGTGGCAGGAGAGGTCTGCACGCCATGTGGGACCCTTGCCAGTCAGCTGGGGATTGAACCGGCGTTGCAGAGGCTGCGGGCAGCTTCGCAACCCAGCGCTCAACCGCTGCACCTCTTGGGAGGCCCTTTTGCAGGATTTCTTTAAAGTGCTTCCATGCAGTATCATGTGTCAGAATTTACTTTTTAAGGCTGAATATTAATTCATTGCATATATCAGTCATAGAACATGGGTGTACAAATATCTATTTGTGTCTCTGCTTTCAATTCTTTTGGGTATAAACCAAAACTGGGTTTGAGGTCCTTTTAAGTTATAAGTATTTTGTGACAATAGGAAAAGAAAAGTAAATATTCTTCATGTCCTCCAGTCCCCATCTCAGGTTTTTTTTTTTTTAATTTTTAAAAAAAGATTTATTTATTTATGCATACAAGAACTGGGGTACAGGCCAGAGGTGTGGGGAGTGAGAAGATTCACCAGAACAGAACAGAGAGGATTCTGGGGAACAGAACAGGCAGACTGACTGAAATACACTGCTGAGGGGAGCAGTGGGCGAGGCAGGAGAGGTCTGCTGTGCCATGTGGGTAGCTCCCTGGCCCAGGATCGAACTCAGGCCATCGGGGCTATAGTGTTGAGAGAGGGGTTAAGTTTTGTTGAACTGACCTAATTGCTTTCTCCATGTCCACCTGTTTAGCCAAATAATTAAGCATTTGTTTTTCTGTGTGTACTTTCATAGTTTTGAGTGTCAGAATTCCTGATTTTATTGGTTTGAAAGAAAACATTTGAATAACATATCCCCCAATTATAAAGTCATACACTTATTTCTTAAAAAAAATATTTATTTATGCATACAAGAACCAGGGAACAGACCAGAAGGGTGTGTGTGTGTGGGGGTGGTGGTGGTGAGAGGATTCACCAGAGACAGAATGGGAAACAGAACAGGCAGATTGACTGAAATACACTGCTGAGGGAAGCAGTGGGTGAGAAAGGAGAGGTCTGCTGCACCATGTGGGTAGCCCCCTGACAGGACTGTAAATCATGCTGCACTGGCTGCGGACAGCTTCATTCGTTGCATTTTAACCCTTTGCACCACCAGGGAGGCCCCAAGATTCTATTTTCTTTTTAAACAGCTGAGTAGTATTCCATTGTATGGCTTCTTTGTATGTCATCCTTATTCATCTGTTAATGAGCACTTAGGTTGTTTCCACATTGTTCATTTTATTATAGTGCATGTGTATGTGATTTCCCTGTTTTAAGGGAGGTTCAGGATATACCTGTTTCTCCAGACTGACTATGTTTCATTATTCTATTTATTAGTCTGGGGACAGTGAGGCCATTCTTCTCAGATTTTACCAACAATTTTCTTCTGTGTGAACAGTCAAGGGGACCAGTTAGCCTATTTAAGCTATGTTGGAATTCCATGGCAGTAAAACAAAAGATGTGATTTTCCGCTGCGTTCATACATGCTCAGTGGGTGACTTTCCAGCTTTGTTGGTATTTATAGCAGTTGGCAGAGCACCAGAATCATCTGTAACCTTCCTTGACTCTTCTTTTTTCCTTAAAGATTGATTTTTATTTATTTATACATATAAGAACTAGGGTATAGGCCAGAGGTGTGGGGGTGAGAGGATCCACCAGAGACAGAGTGGGAAGCAGAAAAGGCAGATGTACTGAAATACACTGCTGAGGGGAGCAGCGAGTGAGAGAGGAGAGGTCTGCTGCACCATGTGAGTTAGCTCCTTGGCTGGGGATCAAACTCATGCCACGGTGGCTGGCCATAGCTTGATAGCGCTGAGACTTTAACCCCCGTACCACCAGAGAGGCCCAATCATCCTTGACTCTTACCATGAGTGGCATGGCTTAAACAATTACATGAGGGATGGAAGCTGTAACCAATGTAATCAAGAATATAGGTTTAGTCTAATATAAACCTCTCACTGTATTTCCCACAACCATGCATCTTCTCTTTTGTTTGAGCCAACATCAAGCAAGGAGAAAATGCTGTGCTAGTTCTCTAGAAGTTCAAGATAGAGTGATATAACATGGAGTTCCTTTCAGGGCTTGGTAATATGAAGAGCCAAGGAATGTAGCCCTATCTTAGGCTAAGAATTTGGCAAAGCTCCCAGACACCAATATAGTGGCTTGAGAGCTTTGCAAACTGCTTTGCTTTTTTATCTCT